GTTGCTGCATGAAAACGGCGTTTGCCGCGAGAGTTATGAATGGCCCACTCCAATTTTTTCACAGATGGTTAGGAACATTTTGACGGACATAATATGTAAAAATTACCCGAATCGAAGGTGACGTGTTTTTTGCTATTTATTTTTTTCTGTTTTAATTCAAGGTCAAATGCATTTCAAGGTCACTTCAATTTAATTTTATAATTAAAAATCAAAGCCTTATCAATTGCCTACAAGATCCTGTTAATATCATTTTGATACCAGAAAAGGAACCAGAGTTATATACATTTAAAAAATTGATGTGTGGCATTTTTGGCTATATTCGATGACCTATATCTCAGCGATACTTTATCAAATTTCGGAAATATTATACGTAACTCAGTTTTGAACCATGCCCAGTCTGCCTACAAATTTTCAGAAAAATCGAAAGGGATGACGGATTTCGGTGTTTGATTTGACGTGGAATGCCCCCAAGGTCCTCCAAGCCGCCCGGAGCCCGCCAACACTGGCACGGTCTCCACTGCTGCGGAGCCGGCTCCCGCGGCGCCCCGTCGCCCACGCGCCGGATCCGAGCCCGCTCGGGAAGATGTGCCAGCCGTCAGCTGTCCTTTACTGGCACTCCCGCCGACCGACGAGCCAAAGCCGCCTCCCGCTTCCTCCAACCGGGGCCCACCGCCCAACGGACCAGCACCGTCATCCCTCCTGGTGCCGTCCAGCTGCCACTGCGCCACCCGCAGTCTCCTGTGGCACGAGCTCCCCATCCCGCCACGGCTTCCCGGCAGCAGTGGCATGTCGCCGCCCAGCAGCTGCCGCAGGTGATCCTCGTCTTTAACGCGAATGTTTTCGCCTACTTCCCTTTTTGCAGTAAACGCGACCTCGCCGGCTAAAAACAGACGCGATTTTAGCCCCATTCTCATTCCTGCGCGCTGCGAGAAGGGCCTGGAACATTTTCTGCATCCTCGGCACGAGCGACTCGGCTATGTAAAGTGGTGCCCTCTCTCGGAGACCAGGGGAAGCACCGCGGTCCCGCTCGGCCCGTCGCCCCAGGAAAACAGCTCGAATCGACGTCTGTTTTTCGCCACATATTATACTTTGGCCCCTAGAGGCATTCAAAAAATTTTAGGGGTAAAGGGACCCGCTTAGATTTTCAAAAAACTGGTCCATATGTACATTTTTGGACGCTGATTACAATGGTGAAGTCTGTTTTTCGCCACATATTATACTTTGACCCCTATATGCATTCAAAGTTTTTAGGGGTAGAGGGACCCCCTTAGATTTTCTTCAGAACTGGCCCATGTGTTATAGTTTTTGACGCTGATTACAATGGTGAAGTCTGTTTTTCGCCACATATTATACTTTGGCCCCTAAAGGCATTAAAAAATTGGGGTAGGGGGACCCCTTAGATTTTCATTAAAACTGGTCCATGTGTACAGTGCTTGACGCTGATTACAATGGTGAAGTCTGTTTTTCGCCACATATTACTCTTTGGCCCCTAGAGGCATTCAAAGTTTTTTTAGGGTAAGGGGGACCCCCTTAGATTTTCATAAAAACTGGTCCATGTGTACAGTTTTTGACGCTGATTCCAATGGTGAAGTCTGTTTTTCGCCACATATTATACTTCACTGTAAACCAAATTGACAAGTCTTGTGTAATATAACCAATCATCTCTTGGTAGGTTTACCAACTGATACTTTTTAAACAAGCCGTTGTCTGGTGCATTGCTTGTCAGGTGACAATTACGAGTCAATAGTTACTATGCACACCAACTTCTCAGTATCCAGACCAACTCTACATTTGTTTCAACGTTTGTTTCTTAACCAGTTTTGGAAACTTGTTGCCGCATGGTTATTTAACCGGCGCCTAACTTGTACTGGTCAGCTGGTCAGCATACACATGGTCAGCTGCGCCCATGACGTCAGACTTGGCGGACCAATCAGCGGTCGCCGCCAGCCGTTAGCGGGCCCCGGCGCGTCGGTTTCGAACCAGCAGTTGTCGCGCGGCCGTCGTGCAGCCTGGAGCAGCGACGAGGGCTGTTCCAGCATTTGTGCAGTAAAAAGTGAAATCTGTGAACTGTGGTGTTCGTGCTGTGAGTGAGGCCCCCTCTGGCCTGCGGGACGCACTAATCGTGCCTATACCCGCGGTCGAGACGCCTCCCTTCCCCTGCGCGCGCAATGTAAGTGGACCAGACCTGTGCATGCACATGTGAGCAGATGTTTTGCGGTCGGTGTTTTTATATATAAATACATTTATTTGCCTTTAATTCAACTCTTTGTATTTTTAACTTAACCCTATTCCTGGCGGGGGGGCCTCAGGAGCCCCCCCCCCCCTGAGGTTTTTTGGTTATTTCTCCCAAACGCGTTGAGCTATAGGAAGCTCAAATTTTTTGACTTTTCCTAAAAGGCTTCTACGCAACATGTCTGAAAATTTTGAGTTGATCTGACCTCAGGTCAGGTCACCAGAGGCGGTTTGGTGACCCTACCTCAGAAAAGTTTGCAATCACGCCAGAGCTAGAGTTTTTGACCGATCAATTTCTTCTCTTCAGGCTTTAGTTAGGGTACCAGTATGTGCAATTTGTATATCTCGGAATTTTTATATCGGTGACCTAAGGTCAGGTCAGTTTCGCGACCTCCCCATTATAAGTCAATGGGGGAAAAATCAACTCCCTGTTTTTACCACTAAAACGGGTCGGAATGGCCCCATATACCATACATGACTTCATATACGATCAACCTTCACTACCTTGAGGTCTGTTTTGCTGTTGGGCAGCTGTGAGGTCATGTGACGTCATCAAAGGTCACCAAAGGTTTTTTGCCAATAACTCCGTACAGGAACAAGATACAGACGCGTGGATGGTCTCATTGTGTTCAGCTCGTCAAGACGCATCGAATGATATACATGATGACCTCGAGGTCACGTGACCTGAGGTCAACCTTTGACCTTGACCTTGCGAGGTCAACATATATATCATTCGATGCGGATTGACGAGAGGATCACGATGATGCCCTTAGTTTGTTCCTATCTTGACTAATTCGAAAGTTATTCGAGAAAAACTCTCCATATCTAGCGCCGCCATTTTGACTTTTTCGACCCCTGTGACGTCATCTTTGACCTGACCTGAAAATGACCTTAGTAAAAATTGTAGATCTTGACCGTGCGTATCCGATGCCGTTTACCGTTTGTCGCTATCTTGCTTCGTTCTCGAGATCTCAGGGGGGGGGGGCCGAATCGGCCCCCCCGCCAGTTTCTTGTCCCGGCGGAGCCCGCCAGGAATAGGGTTAACTGATGGACATATATGGGCTGTAAAAGCTAATCTGGTTGGCGATCATGATTTATTCGAATTATCTGCGTGATCGTGCAACTGCCATGATTGTTATGCTTAATGTTAAGGAAATATTCGTCATACGGGTATGTTATACTTCTGGCTTGATGCGGTGCACAAAACCATGTTCTTCCACATATACGCAGCAGTTCTTGCTTCAAAGACTTATATGCTGACGGTGCACGATAGGTATATCTACTGGGTATACCTACCTCATGCATTTACCACATCCATTCGGAAATATGCACTCGGAATTGTCTCCAGTCAATAAGTATCAATTACGTGACCGTGATAAATACTAACTAATGATTACAGAAACTTCCGAATGGATGTCGTGTATGCATTCATTGATTATATAACCCATCAGTATTTCGTTTCTTGTCAGCGCAAGCCTTTGAGCATGAGCAATAACTGATGCCAGTCATGGTTTTGTGCACCACTTCCAGTCAAAAATAACCTGTCCGTATATAAAATATTTCCTGAATCAGTATCATGGCAATTGAAAACGAACGCGAATCGTAAGTTCTTAAGGTTATCAAGTATCAACGCAAACAAAGCGATTGTAAGGAAGAGCAAGTTCGAACAGAGCGTTAGTACACTTACTTGTTGACAATTTGTAAGCTAGCAATGCCCAGTCAAAGGCCAGTCTAGTTCATCAACAAACCAGGGACTGGTGAACCGACAAGGAAACGACTATACCTATCCAGAAGTTGGTAGGTCCACAAGGCCCAGACTAGTACTCAACAAGGTGACGCCTATGCGAATTGGAACCAAACTTGTAGACAAACTGTTAGTTTGTTGGCCAACAAGCCTGGGGTTGGTGAATCGACAAGGTATCGACAAGGTGACGCCTATGCGAATTGGAACCAAACTTGTAGACAAACTGTTAGTTTGGTGGCCAACAAGCCTGGGGTTGGTGAATCGACAAGGTATCGACAAGGTGACGCCTATGCGAATTGGAACCAAACTTGTAACAAGGAGCCAACTTGTAGATTTGGTTTACAGTGTTTGGCCCCTAGAGGCATTCAAAAAATTTTAGGGGTAAGGGGACCCCCTTAGATTTTCATAAAAACTGGTCCATGTGTACATTTTTGGACGCTGATTTCAATGGTGAAGTCTGTGTTTCGCCACATATTATATTTTGACCCCTAGAGGCATCCAATTTTTTTTAGAGGGGCAGGGGGACCCTCTTAGATTTTCATAAAAAAAACTGGTCCATGTGTACAGTTTTTGACGCTGATTACAATGGTGAAGTTTGTTTTTCGCCACATATTATACTTTGGCCCCTAAAGGCATTAAAAAAATGGGGTAGGGGAACCCCCCTTAGATTTTCATAAAAACATATGGACCACTTTTTATGAAAATCTAAGGGGGTCCCTTTTCCCCTAATTTTTTTTTTTTGAATGCCTCTTGGGGCCAAAGTATAATATGTGGCGAAAAACAGACTTCACCATTGTAATCAGCGTCCAAAAATGTACACATGGACCAGTTTTTATGAAAATCTAAGGAAGTCCCTTTATCCCTTTCGTGTGGAACAGTACAAAGGGACCGGACAAACTGCAGACACAGAAATGAAAAAAAAAGAGACATTCGACAGCCCGACTGGAATAAAGAACAAGGAGCGTGTCTAGATGTTTGCTGTCTTACAAACCCAGCGCCGCTGAGTAGTCGGTTCGGTACTCGCCTGGAACTCGATGGTGCCGTAGGCGTCGGTGGGGTGCAGTGTCGTGTGGCGCAGCGGGCTCCAGTGATCGTCGCCTTTGACGGTGTGCTGCAGGGTGGCCGGGCTGCCGTCGCTGTGGTACTGCCACAGGTTCCCACAGCAACACCTGCAGCCGGCAGCGGCTCGCGTCAGGCTATATCTATATATGTTACAGGTAATATGCCAAATCCGTTAGGCTGCAGCGAAACTGTTTACATTGTTAACCCGCGCCCTGCTGGGCTATTCAGCCATACGCGCCCTGGTGGGGGCGGGGGGGGGGGGCAGACTCTGCCGTCTAATTGCCCTGATTGCGGCAATTAGACGGTTTTCCCGCTATTCGCGAAAAAAACTGAGGGGGCGGATATCTGCCCCCCCGTCGGTGCGCGGGTTAATAGCGAGAAAACGGCGGCGCGCAGCACCACCAAATTTTCAGTACCTTCTCGGGCATCAATTTAACAACTTCACACAAATTTCAAGTCACAGGTCACCTTGGGTCAGGAGTTATTGAGGTCCAACTGAGGTCATGTTCGAGTAAAAATGAGCAAAAAACATGACATCTTCAAACGCTCACCAAACCTAGAGTTAATAAGCAATTTTCAAGTTCTTTATGTGGTCGTGTAGAGAAAAGATGGCGCTACAAAACTGCGATCTCGGATTTTCAAAATTTTGGAATTTTCACCCCCAAAAAATTAAAAAAATGATTTTTTAGAAAAGTTTAAAAAATTCCCAAAAAATTCGAATTTCGAAAAAAACGGAATATATGTGATAGTCCCTGCGCTCTTCGATATACATACCAAATTTAAGATCGATACCTCCTTTTTTGGCGAAGACATAGCGAAAAAAACTGTTAAAAACTGATGACGTCAATTTTTTTTTCGAACTACTCCGCCACCCATTATTAGGTGACCAGGAGTGCCCCCACCCTCAGCCCAGCGACTCACAGCACCTTACGTTAACACCCGACAAAAATAAAAAAGGATAAGTCGCGGCACTCCCAGCTAGGAAAATTGAAAAAAAAAACAAAAACAAAGTAAGCAAAAGAAGTGCGGGAACCGGTTAATAAATAAAGAGAGCCAAAGTAGTCATTGCTGAAAGCAGCGGATGACTGTTCTACTACATCTAAGAAAGAAGTCATTCATACATGCATACATAATTGGTTAGTAGAGTGCATTCAGCCTTTCACTCCTAGAAGAAAAATCAGCAAATGGCAATCCAGTGGGGAAACATTTCTGGTCAATTCGAGCGCAGGTCAACAGCCAGACTTTCTAGGGCCCACCAGCTAAGCAGGGCTTGTTGCTGATGGACCCCTTCAAGTCCGGCGTTCCATTTGAGTGGGGACGTATCTCCTGTGTTGATAATCACAAAGGTAGGTTACATTATCAACACATCATTGTCAGCCTAGCCCAATAATAAATGCACCAATATGTCCATTTATTATTGGGCCACTTGTCGAGATGCTAAGCACTTTGTATGAAAAGTACTAGGTAAGCGTGTGTATTACGCTATTTAGGTATGTATTGCTATTTATTATCATGTTCTTGTTGTTTTTCTTCTTGTAAGATTTAACATATTTTCATATTCATTTATAGGTATATTTACGAGGATACTTAGTACCCAGGATTACTTAACTAATACTTTTGCTAATACTTCACTTAAACTTTTGATAAGTACTTTTGCTTAGTACTCACTAAGTAAGATATTCTTTACATATTTTTTGAAAGTGTTTTTTGATTGAGGTACTTCTTCTAATAGAAGATCTTTAGCTATTAAGTCATTCTAGAGTTTGGGTCCGATGCAAGGAAATGAGTAGAGCCTGTAATTTTTTGTTGAAAAAACAGGTTGAAAATGATGGATATTTCTTGTTTGATGGATAGGGTCAGTTGAAAGATGAAGTAATCGTCTTACAGAGACTGGTAATTCCTGCATTATGTACTTATGCATGATAAGCATTATTTGAAGTTTGGCTACGTCTTTAATTTTAAGAATACTATATTTTTTAAATATTGGGGTAGCACTTTGTGGTGGGAAAATACCTTCAATTAGTCTCATGAACCTTTTTTGCAGAATTACCAGCCTTTGAAGGTGGTTTTCATAGTTGGAACCCCAAATGAAACAGCAGTAGTTGATATAAGGAAAAATCAAAGAATAATATAATTGAATGAGCTGCTGTTTTGGGATAAAGCGTCTAGCTCTTGCAATCATTCCAATGTTTCTGCTGATAATTTTACATATGCTACTGATATGAGATGTGAATTTGAGGTCAGAGTCAATAAGGATTCCTAAGTATTTCACTGTTTTCATTTCAACTACTGCTGTGTTTCTAATGTAAATGTTTAACTTTTCAGCAGTTCTCCGTTTTGAATATACTTGGAGAAATGTTTTTGATGGGTTCACTGTGAGGTAATTTGCTTCTAGCCATTCAGATATTTTTGACAGGGCTGCATTTGTTATTTCTTGAAGTGTTTCTCTGTTTTTATGTTTGAAAAATATTGCAGTATCATCTGCATACAACATAATTTGCCCTTCAATTGGAAGATTTGCAATGTCATTTAAGTATAGAATGAAGAGGAGTGGTCCAAGAATTGACCCCTGCGGCACTCCTATTTTTATTTCTCGTTCAGTTGACTTGACCCCTTCTATCTGTACCACTTGAAATCTGTTTGTTAAGTATGATTTGATTGTTTTTAGAATATTTCCTCGAAAACCCATTTTGTTTAACTTTTCTAGTAGTATTTGGTGTTCTACAGTGTCAAATGCTTTTGAAAGGTCAAGAAAGACACCTGCTATAATGTCATTAGTTTCCAGTGCTTCAGTTATGTAGTCTTGAATAAGCATGACTGGCATGTAGGTAGAGTTATTTTTCCTGAATCCAAATTGATTGTCTGAGAGAATGTGTCTGCTTGTTGCAAAGTCTGTCAGTTGGTAGTGGATAACCTTCTCTAATATTTTTGAAATTATTGGCAAAATGCTTATTGGTCTGTAGTTAGATAAGCTATTATGATCTCCACTTTTGAATATTGGCTTCACAGATGCTATTTTTAAGGGATCTGGGAAGGTTCCTGTTGAGAGGCATAGGTTGAAGAAATAAGTAAGCTTTGAAAGGATAGGTTTGTAAGAATGTTTCAATATTTTTGAATTGATTCCATCAATTCCAGCACCAACATCTTTAAGCTGATTTATTATTTGTTCCACTTTATCATCAGTGACACTAGAAAAGTTAGTCATTTCTCCTTCTGTCTCTCGAACATTTTCTAAGGGATTTGTGTTGTTACAAGGAATATTTTGTTTCAACTTTTCCCCTATTTCTGTGAAAAATTTGTTGAAACTTTCAGCCATTGACATCATTTCTTGACCGCTATTCTCAGTGTTGTTTAGTGTTTCACCTGGCAAAATATCACATTTACTTTTTTGTTTTAGAAGTTCATTTAATGTTTCCCATGTCTTTTTGGGATTCCTGTTGTTTTTTTTTTTGAAATTCTGCTTCATAGTAGGCCTTCTTTGAGTTTGTAATTGCCCTATTTAGACAGTTTCGATATTTGTTGTATTGTGCTATATTGTATGAATTAGGATTTTTAAGTTTGTTCACAAACATTTTGTTTTGTGATTGATGGAACAGAGTATAGCTGGGGTCATCCATGGTTTTATGAAGTTATTTTTTCTTGAGCATGTTATGGTTTTTGAACACATAGCAATGCCGTCCTTGTATGCTTGTATAATCTGTATGCAGGCCAGTTCAGGATCTGTTTGAGTGGTGAGATCATCAAGACTCTCTATTAGGTGGCCCTTCAGGTGTTCAATTTTATTGTAATCAAATACTGTTCTTTCCTTATCCTTCTTTTCTAATATTTTATTTTCAACATTTGCAGTTGTAAAGATTACAAGGTGGTCTGAAAGGTCTGTTACAATTACCCCTGGTACTACTATTTTAGACAAGTCATTTGTGAAGATATTATCAATAAGAGTACTTGAGGTTGGGGTAATTTTTGAACTCAAGTTTTAGCCATTCTAGACCACGTAGCGCAAAGCAAAGACCAGTGACCACCATTGCACTCCCCGTGACGAGCTGCATCGAATCGATACCCATTTTATGCAAAAATATCAACTTTGAAATTTGACCCAATTTGATCTGACCTTGACCTGACCTTGACCTGACCTTCACCAACACATATGTAATCTCAACTGACCCCAAGGGCTGCCTGACCCACATCATCGCATTTGGCATATAAAAGGGACCATGAAACATGCATCACATGATATTTTTATATTGTGACCCTCAGTGACCTGACCTCTGTGACCTGACCTGGTATCAGTGACCTCAAATAGCAAAATATGTGTTTGATGAACATTTCCGCATCGATGATTTTCTCATGGATAAAACAGAATACATTTCCAAAGCAGAAGACATCATTCAGAACTATGAAATCACAACGAAAAATCCCACGATAAAACTGGAAGAAGAAACCAAAACTCTCATGAAAAAAACCTCTCAAAGACAAGATACCGGATGACTACCTGCGAAAAATTCTACCACAGCACTCCAGGACCGCCGAGTTTTATGGCCTACCTAAGACGCACAAAGCCTCATAAATTTTACGACGAATTTCGCTCAAATTTTCAGGGAACACGTTAACTTGATTTATGATAAGGTTCTGAAAGCTTGACGTTGCTGGCGTAACGCGTTTAGAAGTTATTGGCGAAAAACGGGAGAGGGCAGATTCTACCCCCCCCCCCCAGCGGGGCGCGGGTTAAAGGGACCCTCCCACCTTCAAAAAAGTTAATGAATTGGCATGAAAGTGATGTCCCTTGGTTCAGAAACAGCGAAAACGAATATCTACCAAATTTCACCGAAAAATATTCACTGGTTTTCAAGATATTAGGCTTTTACTTTTGTTTACTTTTTGGGATCTCCCCTGTTACTAGCGACTTTATTTGGAAGCAATAATTTGGCAGCCTTAAAGTGCGGCAGACGTTGCGCGCAAAGCAGCGTATACCACCACGTGTTAACGATGGTTTTAGTCTAAGATTTAAAAATCGTTAGATCTCCGCTGACGTCACAAATTCTAAGGGGGCATTCCAATGCATTAGCCCCTTAGAATCCGAAAACTGCAAGTTTGAAATTCCATATCT